ATCAGTCTGTAATACAGATTTCCCTAGTTATAGAGTTTAGATGACTTCTAAGAGTGTACCTTGTTGCCCCAGTCTATAATAGAACATCTTTCATTGTGTGCTATAAGCATTTCTAGTCCACCCTGGGAATCTAACCATTTCATGTGTTTCCTTATTTTTATTCTACCTGAAATTGCATTAAAAGGTCAAAATTACCAATTTGTAAAGAAATTACAGGAAACTAAATTACTTGCATGCTTAATTTCTGCAAGGCATTTAAATACATTTTGAACATACAAAGGAAGTTGAAGGAGAACATTACAATCCTTTACCCCTTAAAATTCTGTAGTACCTTATAATAAAATACAATGCATACCAATTTTCTTGTTTTGGTTTTGAAGAACAGCTGTTTTGTTTTGTTTTGTTTTCTTTTGAGACTGAGTCTCACTGCAGCCCCAGCAGGTCTAGAATTCACTATGTAGACCAGAGATCAGACTGCCTCTGCCTCTGCCTCTGTCTCTGGAGATAAAAGGCATGTACCATCACACCTGGCCCAGAAGAGATATCTCTGAAGTGACAGTTCTAAAATGTGTCTATTATTATGTACTCCTCTTAATTTACCTTTAAGAAACTTTTTAAAACAATCTCCATATATTTGGAAGATATTCAGTTTTTCAAAATACATTTAATCTTCAATATGCTTTCACAGTTTTAAATTTCATATGTCAAAATAAGGAAAAATTTAATTACATTTCTGGTAATATGACTTTTGAACATGACTCAGTTAATTACCGGGCAATCGCCACAGAGTGGAAAATTCGTTAAGCATAGAACTATTCTGAGGTAATAACAGATGATGATGATGATGATGATGATAGAATTATACTGTATCTTACATCTTGTAGGTCATAGGCTATAATGTTACTCGTTCTCTCCTTCAAGAACATTTAAAATCTATTATGCTTTGTTTTGAATCACTGAAGCATTTTAAGGAAATCTTTCTAAAGTAATAAATTAGTGCTCTTTCAGTGCAATTTTCACTCAAATGTCGAACCACTACTTTCCACAGTTTTCTTTTTCTTTAAAACCATTTTTGGTTTCACAACGTGGATTTTTTTGTGGGGGGGGGTCAGAGGAGTTCCTTGGTTTTGAAAATGCAATAATCATTATTTTGATAATTTAAAAATACTGTTAACTGTGTGTTTGCTGAATTCAAGAGTGTAAGATAGTTCCTCTTCCCAAAGGCTAATACTATATTTAGGAAGCTAGGCACCAGTGCAGCAACTAAAGATGCATAAATAACCTCGAGTGTTCCATGTGACACAGTAAGAGTGCAACAGGAGTTTAGGGATGTAGAAGCCATCAAGAAATATGCTGGCCAGAGATGGTGCTGTTGAACTTTCAGAGATGGGAAAACATGCAAACCAGTATTTATGAAATCTCTAGTAATAACTTGACATGTAAGGGCACAGTGTTCTAACAGTAGAGACTGGGCTTTGAAATCAGATCCTTGTAGTCTTACTCTCCTGTGTGACTTAGGATTTCAGTACTCTGAATTCTAATTTCCTGCGTGTGTGTGTGTGCGCGCGCATCTGGAAGCCAAATCTTGAAGTTGGATTTATTCTTTAATCACTCTCCATCTCATTTTTTGAGACAGGGTCTCTTGCTGAACCTGGAGCTCACTGATTTGGCTTATCTGACTGACCAGCAAAAGCCAGAGATCCTCCTGTTTCCACCTCCCCAGTACTAGGATTACAGGGATGTGCCCCTGTGCCTGGCTCTTTTTGAGGGTTCAAGGGGCTTGAACTCAGGTCTTCATGCAAACACTTTAGCAACTGACCCATCTCTGGAGTTCTCAAATTCTTCTACTAGGAAATATAATTCACTAAGAACATCTACAAAACAAAAATCCATTTGCTAGTAAGTTCATGTTTTTCATTTTATTTATTCAACAAATACCTGTTGACTGGATGTGTCAGCCATTGTCCAGCACTACAGACACAACAGTGAATAAAATACCCCAGAAGACAGAAATACCTACCCTTAGAAATTACATTTCAGTATTCTTTAGGCTTTTATTGAAATACAAGATGAGACATGATGCTTCCATTTTAAAGAATTTATTAGTATTCCATTGCAATTTGAATTTAAAGGAGAATCATGAAAACACCGTAGTGTTAGTAAGCAGTAGTTTGTGCATCTTTGAGAATATATATATAATATATATATATATATATAAGTAAAAAGAAACACAGAACATTACTTTGCTTTTTAGACTCTTTTGTTCTCCTTATTTTTGATGTTTTATAGAAAAGTTATGGGAACAGAGACCCAGGACACAAACTTGTTCTTTGTGCCCCAAGAACTGAATCTCAAACCTGAGAAGTAGCGCTTAACAAGAGGTACTGAATAAATAACTTAAACATGTATGATACAGTATAATATAGTAAAATCAAACCTGGATAAACAAAACCATTGCATAAATCTTTTTAACAAAAGATATCCAAATGGTCTCACTAGGAATTGCTTGTGTTAGTTACCATGTTCTCTTAGGATTGTCTGGGACTGCCTCCAAGAAAATTCTAAAACTGTTTGATCTCTACCAGAAGGCCTTCAGAGTCAACTCCATAACTGTTACTTTACAGGGTGCATTTCTTCTCTTGCCCATAACCAACCACTAGGACACAGGAAAGTAGAAGACTGTGTTGAGACCAGGGAGGAGGTGTTTAGGGATGGCGTGGGCGACAGGAATGATAAGGCACAAAATAAGAACTAGTGCTCATTCTAAGATGTCACACGTACAGGTGAATGCCTAATCCTTTCAGAGGGGGTGTCATACTGAATTGGATGCCTGAAAGTTTACATTTTTCTCTTTCATTTTCCTTCCTCCCACCACCTGCCCCAGCACCACAGGGCATTTAAGCGAAGCAAAGTGGGACCAAAATGCCATTCTTAATGTGGGAAGAATACACTGTCTAATGTGCCCAGAAAACAAACAAGGAAGGACTTCAGTGCTTAGCTGTATAAAACAGCCAGCAGCCAGTCAGCAGAGTATCTCCAGACATATTTCCTTTTCAGCATCACGATATGCAGTGTGGCAGATACATGTTCGGAGACAGGATTTCATGCTACTTCTTCCAACTGGAAACACTTCAGGGAAGGCTTTGCAGTGCAGGTTAGTCTCCTCATTTCACCATCACTGACTGTACTTCTTTATGGAATAAAGTGGGTGTTCCCCTTCCAGCTTCTGAGAACCAAAAATGTGAATAATCAAGGTTATTAGAAGAATTTTACAGATTTCATCGCCCAACTATTTATTAATCTCTCTTTTTCCAGCCCAGCCCAGAAACTGTCGGTAGCCTTGGCTGTATTCTATCCACAAGAGTTAACTTTCTCTCTGTAGAAGCAGGAGCCACAGCTGTATAAACCCTGACAATGAGAGAGGATAACAGAAACTTCCAGCAGTTATGTCCTCTGAAGAACCTGAGGAATTATCTAAAGTACCAACATTACTCCAAACAGACCCTGCACCAACACCGAAGAGATCTTACTTTAAATGTTTATATATTTAGGCATATTTAAATATATTTGATAAACGTATAAACTATATTTAATGTACATGCATATATTTAAATATACTTATGCCATTCACATTACTCATTTGTATAGCATGTTTTCACAAAAAGAGAAATAATCTCATTTAATAAGATCTTTTTCTTTCAATATTATCATCCCGTCCATTGCTGCAACATAAAGATGTGGTTTGAAGAATTTCTCATCTCAAAGAATGCTTTGTATCCCCATCAACAAAGTAGGCACACTCTGGGAGGCCAGCCAGGAAGTGGGAATGGCTTCCTATAAAAAAACTGGATTTTTATATCTACATTGAAACAGGATTCTACCTGTACTGCAGCAAGAGCGCAATATTAATACTTGAATTCCTTCCTTTTTTTTGGCAAAGGAAAGAAAAACATTTAAAAAGTTTTCTAAATTTCTGGCAATACCTTAAGCACATTTTTGGAGGTGTTTTAATACTTTCTTTGGCTAGAAAAGTTTGTGCAAACCAAGCTCAAAATTTTCTATACTGAGTTTTAATTCTATTTTAACACTCCAAGACAGTACTAGTGTCGTTTCCTTACACCGTGGAGACAGAAGACAGCCAGGAAAATAACAGGCAGGCTTTCAGAAGGTGAAAAGGTTGGCGTTTAAATTACTGGGCCAGCGACACAGTTGTCAAAGCTGCACCCCCAGCGTGCAGGTTCCCTTTCCTCCCCGCCTCCCAGCGCCGGGTGGGCAAGGGCGCACAGGGTACGGGTCCGCACCTGCTCGCCCTCCTCCGTGCGGCGACCCGCCCAACTCTGCGGGGCCCAAGGCGAGCCCCGGACGCTGTTTTCAAAGTCACCCTCCATGGATGGGGGCACGGGCAATGGGGTTCAGCAGGCAGCTCTGCAGTCCCACCCTGGCAGTCTCCCCGCTTCCTCCGCAGCTGGCGAGCAGGCCCTGCCCTGCGGCCCTCGCGGGAGCCGCCTCCTCCCCGCGCCCACCCCAGTGCTCCCAGATGCCGTGGGAATGGGCCGCCCCCAGCATCGCTCGGAGCCGGAGCGGTGGCTGCCCCCCGCCCGCGGCCGCCCACGCCGGGATCTACGTCACTTGGCCGCGCGTGGGCGGGAGCCGGAGCGGCGAATGGAGCAAGAGCGGAATCTCCCG